ATTTTATAATGTTTTTTAAAACTTTTTCTTTTTCTATTTTTTTTTTATAATAATCAATATTTAATAGGTGTATTATTAATCCATAAGAGAACAATGTTTTTTTTTTAAATTTGAACAAAACTGTGAAAAAAAAATATTGTGTGCTATTTCATTATTTCATTTTTGTTTTTAGTCATCAATATTATACATAATATATTCACTATGTTATATTAAAACATAAATAATAATATTATAATACGAAGCTCTATATATTTGACGACGTCGAGTTAAAGGAATTCTGAGAAAATATCAAAATTGTTTTATATATCTAGTACATAATATATTATTTCTTAAACGAAATAAATCATACAAATTACAAATGTCTTATATGTATATATATATATATATGACTTGTATATGTATAATATAATATAAGAGAGTGTAATGAACAGTTAACAGTTTTATGCAGTCCTATCATAATTTCAGATAGCAATTGATTAGTTCCTATATTTGATGAATATTGCAGTGTTATTTATTATTTTAAATTATAAAAAGTATTGGTATGGGTTACCACCTAGTACTTACCAGCCTACAATACATGATTTATATATATAATTATATCTTATAATATATACGATGCACTATAATGTAAGTATACTACTTACCTATAATGATCAGTAAAATCTATATGCAATATGCATTATGCATTATGCATTATAGTTATTATACAATTTATAAAGGTTCGTTGCACAACTCGTATTGCAATTTATTGTCCTTTATGGTACATAAAAAAAATGTGGATCTATAAAGGTACCATTATCACTGGAATATATTTAATGATCGTAAAGTACTATAAATAGGATTAAAATTTTTTTTAAATTGATGACTTGTCAAAATCGAGTAATTATTCTATTATCAAGAAGTACCTAATATTACTTATTTGTTATGGCTTTAAGACTATTATAGTAAAGTGAAGATTATAGTAACTTTTCTTTTAAGAACATCGCTGGTTTATATTTTTTTTTTAAATATTGCGTAGGTATAATATACGATAAAATATCAGGATTTGAAAAGATTTGTAATAATTGTTAAACGTCCCAGGTACAGTATAAAGCCAATCAAATCTAAAGTTTTGGCAACAGTGCAGTATCATGAGATGA